AAGCTGCCCAGTCACTTGACAGTGAGTTGGATGGTATATGAATTGAATGAATGAGTGAGTGAGTGAGTGAGTGAGTGAATGAATGAATGAATGACACAAAACAAAACACTGCGCAGCTGAAAAGAATTCCGCATGGCAGAGCAGGGAAAATTTTCCTCCCAATTGATGCCAGCAACTGGTAGGCAGTTACTTGAGGTTTCTGCCAAAGCAGGTATTATGCCAAGTATTAGAACCACGGCTGTACTTTTCCCATGGAAGGATATCAATTAACATTTTCTTGAATAAATGATTGCAAATTCAAATTTCCCATAGTTTTTTCGCAATTACATCTTTTACCTCTGTACGTTGCTTCATTCAAAATAAAATGGTATGTCCGTATATGTCAAAAATGCAAAAAGAAGTTTAGATGCCATTTACTTATTCACGTGAGGGTAGATAAATGGAAGTAGAGCAAGGGAGAGGGAAAGAGAGAGGAATGAAACTGGCTGCATGCTATACTCTAGGGGTCATCAAACTTGGCATAAGACTTGTGGACTTCAACTCCCAGAATTCCTCAGCCAGCCCTGAGGGCTGGCTGAGGAATTCTGGGAGTTGAAGTCCACAAGTCTTAAAGTTGCCAAATTTGAAGACCCCTGCTATACTCCATCCACTTAGTACTAAATTCAACATCCACAAAAAATTTAAAAATGTTATATTCTTTTCATTCTTCTTCTGACCCGCAGAGATCTTTGACTTATTCTCCAAGTCACTCTTTTCTTAATCAGTTGTGGAAATAGTGTAAACCCAAGTCACTTTCCTTCCTGGTTCTGTGGTCGTATCGGTAGTCCTCGACTTATAACTGGTTCGTTACAACCTCCTTTGAAGTTAACTGTGAACCTCTCCAGGCTACTTAACACTCTGAATTCAAATTTCCAAAGGCTTTCGAAAATGATTCAGAGAGACTAGAAGAGAACCAGACAGTGTTAGATGATGGCAGCCAAAAAATAAAAAATAAAAATCAGAAGTCTGGTAGAACAGGGGTCTCCAACCTTGGTAACTTTTAAGACTAGTGGACTTCAATTCCCAGAATTCCTCAGTCAGATGGGGCAAAACTCACTTAACAGCTGTCTTGCTTAGCAACAGAAATTTTGGGCTCAGTTACGGTCGAGAGCCGAGGACTACCTGTAACAGATTTGCTTCAAAAGCATGAACCTTTGTGGGTTTTAGAATAGAATAGAGCTGGAAGAGACCTTGGAGGTCTTCTAGTCCAGCCCCATGCTCAAGCAAGAGGTCCTATACCATCTCAGTCAGATGATTGTCCAGTCTTTTTTAAAAACTTCCAGTGATGGGGCGCCCACGATTTCTGGAGGCAAGCTGTTCCACTGGTTGATTGTCCTCACTGTCAGGAAGTTTCTCCTTAATTCCAGGTTGCTTCTCTCTTTGGTCAGTTTCCATCCGTTGTTTCTCGTCCTTCCCTCTGGTGCTTTGGTAAACAACCTGGCCCCCTCTTCTTTGTGGCAGCCCTTCAAATATCAGAATACTGCTATCATGTCTCCCCTATTTCTTCTTTTCTTTAGACTAGTCAAACCCAAGTCCCGCAGCCGTTCTTCGTATGTTTTAGTCTCCAGGCCTTGGATCATCTTAGTTGCTCTTCTCTGAATTTTTTCCAGTCTCTCAACATCTTTTTTGTGATATGGTGACCAAAATTGGCTGCAGTATCCCAGGTGTGGTCTTACTAGGGCTTTATAAAGCGGTACTAGTACTTCGCGTGCTCTTGATTCTGTGCCTCTGTTTATACAACCCAGGATTGTATTAGCTTTTTTGGTTGTTGCTGCACACGGCTGGCTCATAGTCAGGTGATCGTCCACCAGGACTCCGAAGTCCCTCTCACAGTTACATGAATGCTGGTCAGAAAAGGTGATCCTCCTGATTTTTAGAACAAAACTAGCACAGGTTTGGAGAAAGGTAAAAAAAATGAGGATATGGAAGAGAGGAAGGGAGAGGGAGACAAGCGACCTGAGAGAGGATCAAATGGGGATACAATGACGTTCGTCAAATGTCTAGATGGGTATTACAGGAAAGGATAACTTCCCAAATTGCAGGATGCAGAAGGATGGATTTAATTTATGTGTAAGCAAGATTCTACTTGAACAATGGAAAAAACGAAGAGTTACCTAGATCAAGGCTTTTCAACCAGTGGTACGGGTACCACCTGTGGTACATTGGCACCTGGTAGGTGGTACACGACCATCCTAGAAAAATGGTAGCGGGGGAGGGGAATGAGCTGAACCGGTGGCAGCACCACACAAGCCTGAGCGAGAGACGGCTGGAGCTGCAGGGCTATCAGGGCTCAGCGCAAGCGCCAGGATCAGTGCTTCTTCGGGACTGTCAAGGCTCAGTGGAAACGCCAGGATCAGCGCCAGGCTCCAGCTGGAGTTCGGCGCTGATCCTGGCGCTTCTGCTGAGCCCAGAAGAAGCGCCAATCAGCTGAAATGTTGCAGCCTCTCCAGGGTCTTGTGATTTACATTCAGATGCTTGGCAACTGATTCATATTTATGACGGTCACAGTATCCCAGGGTCATGTGAAGGGACCAAAACCTGCTGCAACCACCCAGCAGACGGGGGGAATAAAAACCAAACACCCCCCACCCCACCCCTGCTGCCAATCCTCAACAGAAATGCTCACAACAATGAAAACCTCGGACAGGAGGAAGAGCGCCGCCGGGCGGGCAGGCAGGTGTCTTGCTCGGCTGTGGCTTGGGGGGCACTTTTTTCAGTGCCATTGTAACTTTGAACAGTCACTAAGCGAACTGTTGTAAGTCGAGGACTACCTGTACTTCATCACTTTTTTCCTTTTTTGGGGGGGGGGGGTCATCAAGTTTTTGACACCTTGCTAGGCGACTGGTGGTACTCGGATGTTGCCATATCCTAAAAGTGGTACAATGGGTGAAAAGGTTGAAAAGCCCTGACCTAGATGATGGTAGACATCCATGTTAAACCATGGGTCATTTAACCACAGATTTACTAAATCTGTTTTTTTTTCTTTTTTTCCCTTTTCTTTAATAATGTAAGCATGTAAGAACAATAATGTTCTTTTTTTGTTTTTGTTTTTTAAATCACTCTTTAAGAAAAACGATTAAAGAATAATTTTTTTTAAAAAAAACCCCACCTGTGGATTATTGAATGTATCGTTCAATTTTCACGCAAAGCAATAAGCATGAAACCTCTTTTAGAAAACTGCCAGACAGCATGCTAAATAAAACAACGTAAGCTATTAAGCGAAACTGGAGTCGGTCCCGCTTCCTAAATTATGGCTGCTTAAATAGCAACAGTACACAGCTCATCCCAGCTGCTTCGTGGGAGGAAACGCAACACTGGCTCCATAATGAAAGTGCACACACACGTCTTTACAAAAACCAAAATAATTTTTATTCACTTTTTGCAGCATGTCCGTCTCGACAAGACAATTTGCAAACATGCTAAGGCTATAAAATGTCCACCTGGACAAAACAAACAAACAAACAAATCAACAAACATGCAGTGCTGACCGATCGAAACAGCTATTACAAGACTGACCACGCCCGTCTGGGCTACTGGTCCCATACCACACAGATGGTGTACAGTAACCATGGTAACGTACAACACAACAGGACCAGCAACCTGAGGTAGGTCTCTTTACAATTAAAAAACGAAAATCCCTACACCAGTAGTGTCAAAACCCGATCAGGTGCCTGCTAGAAGCTGCAAGATGTTGAGGATGTAATAATTCCATTAACGAGGAGGCAAGAGCAAAATTTTGTGCACATACAGAGTCAGGTGAATTTAACAACGGTTTTAAAAAATCTCAAAGCATCTGGAGAACTTTCCAAAACAAATGCTAATTGATCTCAAAAAGCCTGCAACTCGGCAGAGAAACGCTGTCGGAAGTAGAAGGGTCCAGACTAAAAAAAAAGATTTGCTTGCTCTAGCTTGGGAATAATGCTACATATACCAGGGATGGGGAAAATCCGCAAAGAGATTTGTGGCGTTCAACTCCCAGAATTCCCTAGCCGAGCCATGCTGGCTAGGGAATTCTGGGAGTTGAAGTCCACAAGTTTTAAAGTTTGGAGCCCACCTGGTATACGCTGTAGACGGGTGCTTTTGCACAGCAAAATGGGAGCGGCTTTGACTGTGTGTTGGATGAAATATCAGCCAAACAACCGACAGTGTCATTGTGCGCACCCAGGTGAATGCACTGGGTTCAATGGTACCTGAGTTTTGCGGTGGCCCTTCACTTCCGGCTACAAAATTCGCTAACAAAATCACCATGGGGAGGGGGGAAGAGCGTTAAACCCCTCCAGGGCCCAGTACCACGAGAAACCGTGGCTTCTATCTGACAATTGTCAAGGAACTTGATTTCAGGGCCCACACGCTTTACGTAGGGACGTGAAAAAGGAGGGAGGGAGGGAAGAGTTACACAAAACTTTCACTTCCACCCCGGGAAGTTGGGGGGGGGGGGGGAAAAGCCAGCACCAGAGAGAGTCCAGTGTAGCCTGGCCCAAGCCAGATTCCCCAACCCCACTAAAACGGTACCCCCCCCCAAAAAAAAACTATTTAAAAATAAAAGGATAGAAAAGAATTTGCACTGGTATTAACCACCGCGCTCATTTTAATATAAAATAAACAGCTTACATTTCCACTGTAAATATAGGCTATGTACAGAATTCTGTGTCGATATAGCTACATGTATAAAGCTTCGATATAGGCCTCTGGATTACATTTATAATAATAATAATAAGGTGGCTCTCTGAGCCATTTTTGTAGAGTGCATTTAATAGCCAAAAAAAAAAAAAAATTAGTTAAGGAGAATACGAAATAAATACCATAATAAAAACCGTGAAGAATCCTCCTTACAGTACTATATATATATTTTTTTTTTTTAAAAAAAGAGAGAGACAGAACTCGATCCTGACCCACGATCCCAAAAAAAAATATTAAAAAATTAAAAGGGTGAAAAGACAACCTGCTCGGAAAGACATGGGGAAAAAAATGGAGGGGAGGAACGTCCCTGCCACGGGCAGAGGAGGATTAACGCTCCGTCTTATTAAAGTGACTTTGCCCTGAATTTTTTTTAGCCCTTGACGGCAACCTTGTTTTCCACAGCGGCAAACATGGCAGAGAAGCGGGAATTTTCATTGGACAGAAGCGCCGACGGCGTGTCAAATTCCGTCACCTGAAACAAAACGGAAGAGAAAGCGCATGAAGTGCGATGCACCCACAGGGGGCAAATACAGGCAGCCCTCGACTTAACGGCCGCAGCTGAGCCCCCCCAATTTTTGTCTAATCAGCGAGATGTCGGTGAAGTGAGTTTTGCCCCATTTTACCACCTTTCTTGCCACAGTTGTGAATCTGACTTCCCCCGCTGCACTTGGCTTGGCGGAAGGTCGCCAAAGGGGATCACGTGACCCCAGGGGACGCTGCAACCTGTCATAAAGACGAGTCAGTTGCCAAGCGTCTGAACTTTGATCACGTGATCGTGGGAAGGCTGCAACGGTCGTTAAGAGTGAAAACTGGCATTTTCCAGTGCCCTTGTAGGAGTTACTGAATGAACTGTTGTAAGTCGAGGACGACCTGTAGCATCACCGTTGGAAAAGGGGACCCAAAGATATGCTATTCCTTTATTTTAGATAAAAGATTAGAGTTCCTTTAGAGTGACGCGATGGCCGTCTTCTGATATCTCAGGGGCTGCCCCAAAGAAGAGGGAGTCAAGCTATTCTCCAAAGCGCCTGAAGGCAGGACGAGAAGCAACGGATGGAAACTAACCAAGGAGAGAAGCAACCTAGAACTAAGGAGAAACTTCCTGACAGTTAGAACAATTAACCAATGGAACAACCTGCCTCCAGAAGCGGTGAATGCCGCAACACTGGAAGTTTTTAAGAAGAGACTGGACAGTCATTTGTCTGAAATGGTATAAGGCAGGGGTCCCCAACACCGGGCCTGTTCGGAACCAGGCCATGCGAGCAGACAGGCGCGCGCAACTTGATTTGCATGAGCAGTGGGTCACCGCCAGGTACATGCACGCAGCTCAACTTGTGCAAGAATGCACTCACGTGCTGGCCTGCCACTCGCACAAGTGGAGCTTTGCGTGCGTGCATGCGCCAACCCACCGCTTGCAAGGCCCGGTTGTCCCCTCTCCCCCCCCAGCCGGGTTGCCAAGCTGCAACGGTTGGGGACCACTGGTATGGGGTTTCCTGCCTGAGCAGGAGGTTGGACTAGAACAGAGGCCCCCAACCCCCGGTCCGTGGATCAGTACCGATCCGCGGTATACCAGCAACCGGTCCGCACAAACTAGCAAAGCCCCATCCGCGGATGCAGGCAGCACACAAAACCATGCACTCTCCGGGCCCCGGAAAAAGCTCTCTCCATGGAACCGGGTCCCCGGTGCCCAAAAGGTTGGGGACCTCTGTACTAAAAGACCCCCAAGGTCCCTTCCAACTCCTTTCTTCTCTTGTTCTGTTATCTTGGAAGAAAGCACTGGCTAATCCTTTCCAGGCTCCAAAAGCCAAGAAAGATTAGTGCTTCTTCCAAGCCGATGTCCTTATTATTCCTCACTTATAGACAGAATCTCGGCAAACCAAAGCAAACCGCCAGCCACATAAAACATGCACCGTGGAACTGTTAAGGAGGAGCTGTCTTCATCCTCTTTCTCTCACACAAGCTATCAGGTCTATCTTGTCTCTAGTTCCTCAGGAATTTCCTCCTGGAAATCCAGACTACATTCGAGCACATTATTTCCATAATGTTGCCATGAGAACTAGGAGGACGTACCCATAAAGACACTACGATTCGTCTAAATAACAGTATAACAGAATTGGAGGAGACCTTGGAGGTCTTCAATCAAATGGTAGTCCAGTCTCTTATTCAAAAGTTCCAGTGTTGGAGGCACCCACAACTTCTAGAGGCAAGTTGTTCCACTGATTAATTGTTCTCACTGATGGGAAATTCCTCCTTCTTTCTAGGTTGCTTCTCTCCTTGATCAGTTCCCATCCGTTGCTTCTTGTCCTGCCCTCAGGTGCTTTGGAGAATAGCTTGACTCCCTCTTCTTTGGGGCAGCCCCTGAGATACTGGAACACTGCTATCATGTCACCCTTAGTCCTTCTTTTAATTAAACTAGACCCGTGGTGGCGAACCTATGGCACCCATGCCACAGGTGGCATGCAGAGCCCTCTCTGTGGACATGCGAGCTGTCGCCCCAGTCCGAGGCCTTCAGCTGGGTTTATAAAACCTTTTCGCTTTAGGCCTCCGCACCCATGTGCAAAAAAAAAAAAGGTTCAATCAGTCAATTTCAACTTCTCACAGGAAAAAAAAAGATCTCGCAAAGTTGGAATTGATTGATTGAACTTTTTAGTCCCACCCAGTCTGCCATTACCACCGCGGTCATGCCCACCCAATGGGCCACGTCCACCCAATTGGCCACACCCACCCAATGGGCCACGCCCACCCGGCACCCGACGATGCATAAGTCAGTTTTGGGTTGTAGTTTGGGCACTTGGTCTCTAAAACGTTCGCCATCACTGAACTAGACAAACCCAATTCCAGCAAATGTTCTTTATATGTTTTAGCCTCCAGTCCCCTGATCATATTTGTTGCTCTTCTCTGCACTCTTTCTAGAGTCCCAACATCTTTTTTATATCGTGGCGACCAAATAATTCTCGGGAAAGTTATCATTTTTAGAAACGACTTGGCTAAGACCTTGTTTACATCACAAACAAGGAAGACTGCTTCATTGGTTGGCTGACTATGAATTGACATTTTACGAGAGCTGCCGAGTTTGGCCACCCATTGAGTGGCTCCCGGCTCCATGGTAATTTTTAGAAGAAAAAGAAGTTGGCAGCTCGCTCACCTGTCCTTGCACCAGTACCATAATCCGGTCAGAGCCCAGAACTGTATGCAGACGATGAGCGATTGTCAGCATGGTGCAGTCTGCAAAGGCTTCTCTGATCGTCTCTTGGATCAGTAAATCGGTCTCGGTGTCCATAGCGGCCGTCGCTTCATCCAGGATTAAGATCTGTGGAACAAGAAAAACCAAATGTACAGGTATAGTATAGGGGGTACCTTGCTCAATAGTAGTAGGAGCCAGCCGTATGTGCAGCTGCCAAAAAGGCCAACACGGTGCTGGGCTGCATTAACAGAGGGATAGAATCAAGATCACGTGAAGTGTTAATACCACTTTACAAGGCCTTGGTAAGGCCACACTTGGAATACTGCATCCAGTTTTGGTCACCACGATGTAAAAAAGATGTTGAGACTCTAGAAAGAGTACAGAGAAGAGCAACAAAGATGATTAGGGGACTGGAGGCCAAAGCATATAAGGAAAGGC